AAGTCGACCAGGTCCAAGGGCATATGCCACGTTTGTGATCGGTTTAAGATAAGACATTAGAGTGTTTTGATTCGTTAGCAAATGGGCAATAGGTGCCCAAGAAGTTTGGTGTTGTAGGATTTGCTTTCAGAGAAACAAGGATTGGTTTTTTGGCTAACTTTCGTTATCAAAAAAGCACAAGATGCAATGTGAAATGTAACTGATGTCAAAGATGCTCTGGAAAAAAGACCTCGCCACGAAGGCAAATCATAGTTCCCACAAAAAACTTTGATAAAAAGAAAACAGTTTGGCACAAGACCGAGAGACAGGGGAGATGTATCTAAATATGTGCATCCGATGATCGGTAGGAACCAATAACAAATGTGGCAAATGCTCTTTAAAACCAGGAATAGCATTTTCCAATGCAGCGCCCTAATTCGGAAAGGAGAAAGGAGAAATCTGCCGTTGGTAACTGGATCGGTAGCCATTGCGTGAAATCTATCGGGGGCGGTTAAATCTGATTCCGACATGTCGAATGAAAATGTTTATTTCTTTAGAGGAAGCAAGAGCAGCGAAGCGACGGGTCCTCTTGGTTTTCTGTGGTCGATGTGGATTTTGATTGCAAGAGGTTCAACAGAAACGACATAGTAATTGTATATTGGAACAAGTAATCGTGAAAAAATGTAAAATATATAAAGTGCACGTAAATAGTGGCTTCAATGAAAACCGTAGGCACCGTTCAGAGGGTTATGAAACGGAAAGACACGGATCTGATCCAGAAGTTATTGAAATTTTGGAGGTTTTCATTTCACACGAGAATGATGAAAAGCGTTATGTTTCGTTCCCCAAAAAGCTCTCAAAATTGATCTGTAAGAAACAAAAACAGAACGGGTCGTTTCTGGCCTCGTGTAGACACCTCTTTTGGCATTCTGTTCCGATTTCAGAGTTTTAATCGCGTATTTAATGGCGGTGTCGATAAAAGAACGCGTTAATTTTTTAAAAGCATCGTGTGTCTATGCGAGGCCGTGTTGCCAGAGTAACGTTCCCCGTCCGTAACGTTCCCCTTGTGAACGAGGCCTTGTAGAACTCCCTATATAAAAGATACATCAAGATTAATAAAGTTATTTTAAGAAAAATTGGAGGTAGCTTCTACGTCCAGCGTGGGAAAGCACAAAAATCTTTCTTGAAAGACTGTCTCTTTTTACGTACTATGAAATGAATGAAAATGAATAGAATAAAGTAATATCCGTAGAATAAAGTTTCGGGGGGTGTAGAGGGTTTGTCTACCAAATCCTTAGTTTGTCGGTAAAATCATCTATCTTTAGGTGAAATAGTACCTAAATTCTTATCCATTTATGTCATCGGCCATAGTTTATAAAAGTGACCAAATTGCATAATTTAAAAAATTTTGCATTTTGAAAATCAGCAGACAATTTTAAAACAACTAGCATTGGGAAAAACGGTTTCTCGTTATAAGAAGCGAATGGATTTTTAAGAGATGGGCACTATTTTACAGATATCCGTACATTTTGACTTCTTGAATTTATGGAAGAGATTTGTCAGCGACTGATCCAGTGAGTGAAGTCAGCTTGTCCTTGTCTTAGAGGAACTGCGGTACGAGATTTAAAAATAAAAACCTGTTTTAAAGAGCGCTAAAGTCTGCTTTCAAGTGTACTACGTATCATCGCAATTAGCAATAGACACCTGTCAAAAACGATAGGTCAAATCTACAAGCCAGGACAAACGGTTAGGAGTAAATACTTATATAATCAATTTTCTGCGTTTTTGCCATCGAAACCAGTAGTATCCCCATCCCTCCAATGTCAATGTTTGTGATGGGTAATGGCAGTTGATTACGGAAGTCAGTAAACCCAACAAATTAACATCATCATTAACACTGGTGGAAGGGGGCTGAGTGTTTTGTCATCAATGACAACAACAGCAAGAATCTCCTAACTTTTGTCCAAGATTGTAAGTTAATGGCGATTATCGCCTGACCGGCGACTTTCTGTACGTTTTAGCCCCAGGGAGGGGGGTACTCCCATTAGGGCCTGACAGGGGGGTCCAGTCGATTTGAGCGTCTTACCAAAAGGCTAGCAAATGGCCCAGTTTCGATAATACCACTACCATTTGGGGCGATTTCAAGTATTTGCTACTAGGGGGAGCTTTTACTCAGCTGCTTTGTTTAGTTTACGATTAATTATAGAAAATTAATAAGATCGTATTTTTCCCGATTCAACAACAGTCACTGGCGAAGAAATTTGTCAAAGGAAGACCAGGCGAGCACAAAGAAATGGATGCTACCAAGGGCAAAATTTCGGTTCTTCTGCTACCATTTGAGGGTTATTGCCAAAAAAGACTACCATTTGAGGGTGATTTATAGCACTTTTGCTTTGGCCCTCTTTGACCCTAACCGGACCCCCCTGCTAGGCACTAATAGGAGTGCCCCCCCGGGGGTTTTAGCTAATCAGTTTATGGTGCGATATTACAAAATGGAGTATGGACAATGCATTATTTTGAACTGACCAGTAATGATTAATTAAGATTAAGTATGTAAAAATAT